TATATATAAAAGGATATATATATATATAAGGATATATATGATATATATTGTATATACATGTAATAATATATGTAATTGTATATACTGTATATACATGTAAAATAATGCAGTGCCGTTCTGTGTAGCTGCTTATAGTTGCAGACGTAGTAGCGATGATAAAGAAGAAACATTAAAAACGAATAATTCTAGTGAATTATTATTTGAATCTCCAAAAATCATGTGATATTGTAGTGTGCTTTAGTTTGGATAACTAATCCGCATATCGCTGCCACGTTTGTCGTAAAAAATTAACGACCAGCTACTCTCATATGATAACCAGTATAAGTAATCTTGTTATACTGCATCTCTACATCGTTTTATAAAAAATTTACCTATGATTGTTGTAATAAAATTATTGAAGAAAACCAGAAAGACGTAGGTTTCCAGTCTCATCGATCCATCCATTTTCTTCTCATCTTGAAAACGTTTTTTTCATTTTATTCAAGAGCACGATTTCTTGTCGCGTACAGAAAAAGCATTACATAAAAAATACACCTTACATCTACGGAACTTTAATACTCGTAATGATCTATAGATCAAAAAGATGCGCCGTTAATACTTTTTTTGTGGGAAGCTACTTGTTAAGGATTTATGGCTCTTGGCAATGGATACAAAATAGCTAGAGGTGTTAGAAACGATGACACATATCGCTCGCCGATGCGAAGTCGCCGCATGACACCCGTCTTGCGAATGTCCCACGACTTATTTATTTTTCATGTACATATATATCATTTTTTTGTATAATATATATATTTTTTATATTTATATATATGTATTCATTGACTTATGTACTAATAAGTACTATGGTATTTGGCAAATTTTCTGTCTTACGTAAAAAAGCTATCTACACGGAAAGCGTGTCCGCGAATGCGAGGAAGCGTGCCAGTATAGTCTTGGATGTATCAACAGGTGCAATGATATAGTTCCCTATGGGAAAGTTTCGCTGCTAGTTTTAGATTTCCTACATACATCTAGTCCTTGTTCGTCTTTCTTACGGTTCTGCACAGAAATACAGTAAATTCTACTGTATAAAATTAAGGATTAGCCATAATTAACTTTAAAATTAATTTTAATGATAATTTAATTCTTTTCCAGAAAGAGAGACGAAAAGTCGTCATAAATTGAATTAACAGCTAATCGATGTACGTAAAATCTTTTATTAAAACCCGCATGTAAAACGTTAGAGCGAATTATCTGGATTTATCATTGCATCTGTTTGTACAACGATTTGTTACAATGTTCTTCCCCCTCGATTGTGAACCTCTCACCTTCGATTTTTCGCGAAGACACGCGTTCCGTGTCGTGCATGTTTCTCTAAACCTATCAAAACTCTCCTAATAATTATTCTTGATACGTCTTACAATTAAGGGAAAACGTTTACAAGCATTTACAAAAACTTATCACATTTTAACGTTTGCGTTTCTTTCTGCAAAAGCCATCTTAGATATTAGGACAAGAGCGGTACGTTTCTTTTTACTCGCTATATTTAGATATATTAAATATGGCAGCTTTCTGATGTCACACTTTCTTAGAGATCACTGATTGAAAATTTGACCAGCAAGCTCCGTGTATCTGTTAAACTTGACATTTGCCACGGTAAATACCATTTCCTTTCCACTATACATTTATTCAGAGAGACTTTCAGCATTAAGGTAACACACATGTCAAAATTTTGTCAGAAATCTATTATAATTCGTTCATCGATTGTTCTTGCACGCATTCTAGTACAGTTCTATGCTGCGAATACAGTGTCTTTTAACTTTGTTAATATTATATGAACAACCGCAATTAACCACCGTAATCATAGTGACTTTTGCATTGTCAATACAAATACACAGTGTCGCAAGAGTTACCTCATCTTCATTTTACTTGTCTCTTAATTTTTTAAAAATAAGTTTTTTATCCTTATAGACAGGGTTGGTAAAAAACATGTTTTAAACATGTTTTAAATACTTTAAAACATGCTTAATCGATGTTTTTAATATGTTTTAAATATGTTTTTTAATAATATAGTTTAAAGCGTATTTGAAGCACTAAAAACATGTTTTAAAAAAACATAAATGTTTTAGTCTTTAAAAAAAGAAACATTAGTCTTTATCAACCCTGCTTATAGAACAGGAAAAATTTTTTAAATAATAATAAAAAAAGATGAGTTGCTCTTACATATCTTTGATAAGGTAACTATAACATTGTAAATATACGTAAAATTATCATGAGTAAAATAAAAAATAAAAAAGTAACTGAGAGCTTTTCTCACTCGAGGTAATATAAAGTAAAAGTACAATATAAATGTACAAGGATGATTATGGACTATATAAATGTATGAAGAGAACGAACGAACTCGCTACAAGAATATGCGAGATTTAAGTATTCACTCATATAACTATAGTAATCACACGCATGATCGTAAGACTCAACAGAGAACACATGCGCATTGAACAATGCGCGATCGGCGACTAAACAATGGAATAGATGCAATTCGATATTTGCTTTCAGTTACCTGAACGATAATTGGTTCCATTAATTTGGCAACGTGAAAGAATCAGTCTTTAAATTTTAAAAATAAATGAGAAAAGGATTGAACATTACGATCACGGAGTTAAGAATTTATGAGAATAAAAGCGTGTCGAATATATGTATATCGCGTATGAAAATTATTTTATCGTTTATATCTCTCAATCGATAGTCATTACTAATCGAAAGACATGAAGAAGGATGAGGTATGAGCTTGAGAGAAGGAAGATAATAGATTGTTCAAGGTGTATGTACAGTTTTAAGGTAGCCGCAAAATCGCGCACCTCGTTTAGAAGAGTTTCTCTGTTGGCGGAATATAAAAGCAACACTCATAGTCTCAAACATTTTAAAAATAGAGAGCTGCCCTTTTAAACAAGAATTACAAATAAAATCTTTTTAGTACTCAATTCAGTATCATAATTAAATTTAATTATAATTATAATTATCATCATGATAAAGTATCTATTAAATTAAATAAATATGGTAAAAAGAAACATAATCGATAAAAAAAAAAAGAAAAACACTTCGCTTTTGAAGAAATGTCAAAGACGACTGGTGAAATCGAAATCTCGTTCTCCATTTTCATCTTGTTCAAGAATAACTCAATTCTTTCGTTACTATCGGAATTTAGATATGTCTTATTAAATTCCCTGAAAGATTTCAAAAGAACCTTATAATACTCTTTCTAATTAAATATTAATTCAATATTAAAAAGATCTTTTCAATAATGTATTAGAGCTGCCTGGATATTACAATGTAAAGAATACGAGCGTTGCATTTTTACGCGATTATACTTTTAAAATGCAATATTCTTTCCGAACGAACACGAAGTCTTTTTGTCTTCACGCGCAACAGAGTACGACTTTCCGCGCGGTCTTCTTAAAGCCGCGCGCGACAAAGGACACGATACTACCCAGCGTACTAGACTGTGACAATCTAAAGGGTGCCTCGAAGCGTTCATCTAAATTGATCAGTCGACCTCTACCAATTGCATGACGAATTTTTGTACATTCCTCTTGCCAGCTTCTTCTTCTTGCGCAAATGATCTACCTATTCCTCGTTTTCTTGTGTTTACACGTTATAATTATACTGTATATTCGTAACTTTCTCCTAAGAGCAATTACCGAATAAGCTTCGCTTATTTCGTACTTCTCGTTTCCGTAAGCTATCGATTATCTGTGCTCCTTCGCATGCTTCGGCGAGTACACTAACGGAGTAAAAGAATTCAAGACTGCTTTTATGTTCAAGGGACAAACCTTTCAAACGTGACATATCGATAAAAACTGCCTTGGATCAATCTTTTTGATGTTATTTTCAAGCGATCTCGCGATAGTCAAAGAACTAGTAAAATATTCCGATCAAATCGTTTTCACTTGAAAAGGTACCGTGGAGAATATATATGTCATGTTTTTAAAGTTTGCTCCTTTTTTTTTAAGGGGTTAGCTTACGTTACACGCGAAATCAGACGTGCAGTGAAAACTTTGCGGCAAAGCAATAGGCAAAGGATACGTTCGCCAATGGCGGGAAGAAGCGCTTTCAGGGGATTCTACGAGGAAGTGTAGGCGGCAAGTGTATCGCGATACACGAGGTAAGAGGTTTCGAAAGGGTAGAAAGGCGGGTCGGCGTGCGACTGTGAAACCGCGCACGTTTTTTTCAGAGCAAAACGAAAAGCAGAGGCTCGGCAGAGACTCTCGGCGCTGAATGGCGAGAGAGGAATTGCGTGAGACTTCATCCGGAAAAAAATTCCAGAGAGGCGGATTCGCTAGATTCCTCTCTCATCTTCCCGTAAGCGGACTCGCGAACGTGCGTACGATGATTTCCTCTGCTCGTCCTTCTTTTCGTTTCTTGTTTTACCATTTCTTTGTTATTTCTTTTCGAGAACACTTTTTAGCCGGAAACCGCACTGCGTGTTTCTGGAACCGATTTACAATCTAGTACGCCGGAAGAATATCTAGACGGCTGAATCCTTGCCGACGAAGCCGGTCTTGGAGACGGACCTCTTGCCGTCGAAGGTGATGGAGGTCTCCCGGCGCAATCCGGAATCGATGATCGGCGTGATCTTCTTCTCCTCCTTCAGCGGCTCTTTCTCGTCTCTGCAAAAGTGTCAAGACAACATTTGTCGGAGGACCGTGATTTCCAATGTCGGATTAACTTCTAATATCGGGCAGAGAACAAAATACAAAAACGAAAAAGGAGCATGTCCATATATACGGCGCGTGGTGCGACATCGAATATACACGTCAGGCATGCTGTCACTTGCAAAGTAAAAGAACTGTCGTAGTGAGAGAAGCTTCGAAGATACGATGCGTCTTTCTCTACGCGGATCTATGTGCCGTATGCCATTTTCGATTCCGATATCGATAAATCCCGAGGAAGCCGCGTTTATTATATGATTCTGGGGGAATTTCCTAACTAGTCCAAGCATTCAGAAAGTTGAACGCTGTACAACTTTCTGAGCGTACATATATGCACAAAGTTCATAAAAGAATAAAAAGAATCTGCCTTCTATTTTTCATATAAATCGATTATAAATATACGTTTCTTATTATGCTTTGAACAAAATTTTTTCAATTTTAAAATTATCCGAGTTTTATATAAATATGTATTTTTTTTATACAACTTGTACTTTGTACATAATGCCCGCGTTGTTCGAAGAAATAAAACTGAAATGACGAAATTGAACGAAATCTGTAAACATAATTGTTAAAAAAAAAAATGCAGACCATTAAGCAGAAGTGTATCGTCTTAATTTTCAGGAATAAATAGTTTTTGGTTTATTTAATTTAGCTATTTTAGAATAATTACAAAAGAATATAGAAATACGAGATCAGATAAAAATGCATATTAATTCTTTATTTTTGTTAATAATTATATAAATTATATCCATTTTCGCTATCCACAAAGAATCAATGTCTTACATTTCTCTCTTTCTTCTGTGCGTCGTAATAATTAACATGTGTTAATCATTTTCTCATTACTTAATTTTACAACACTTCTGCTCAAGGTATACCAAGTCGCTTATAATAAGCGTTTAGTGCTATTTGCGCTTCGCAAAGCACAAAACTGGCAGGTCGAGAACAAGACTCGCATACTTGTTGCAACATTGTGCGGTGACGGAACGGACTATAGAGAGAGAATTAAGGACAAAGTGAGCGTTATTCCAAAGTGTATCGTGCATGCGGCATGGCCAAAGCTCAGGCGAGTACCAACGAGCTCTATACGCGTTATTATTACGAAATAGCACTAAAGTGTTCACTCGAAGGCAGCATTTGATATTGCAACTATTTAATTTATTACGTCGAGTTTAAATAAATAATACAAATGGTAATTCATCAGAAATTAACTTTTTTATAAACAAATCACGAATCATAAACAAGGAACTGAAATATTTTCTTCTTCCAGATTATTTTTTTCATATAAAATATTACAAAATATTCATTTTTCTGACTTATTCACTAAATAAGAGAGTTTGGAACAATAAAATAATTTTAATAGATAAATAGAGCAGTAAATTACGAAAATTTTACGTTTATTAAAATTTCACCTCTCGAATTTTATCTTTTTCGTATTTTGCTAATAAAAAAGTAAAAAATGAAATGTACGATCCATTATGTGCTCGTCAAAGTTACCCATAATCCGTCCCACGGTTGAAAGAGGGTAGTATAATGTACACTGCCTATGCGTAGCCACGAGTGGACACGGATGCCGGCGCAACGTAAAAGTGTAAAAGATAAATGTGTTGCAGTACGAGGAGTGAGTGGTTGGCAGCACAATAAATGCGTCCAACGAATCGAACGTGTTGTCTCCCATGCTCATCAAATTCTGTTTGATGCGTATCGACGACTTCCCTTGCGAGGACGGATCATCCCCGAATGTCAAGTCGGATGAGTTCAGCGATGGGTACCGCCGTCGCTTGGGGAAGTCAGGTAAGAAAAGTACGCAAAAAGAAAAAAAGAGAAGAGAGGAGAGATCTCCGAGAGTTTTGAAAGAAAGGAGAAGAGAAGGAAAAAAAAAAAGATATAAAACGTCATGCAAAGTGGAAAGCTGTGTCGGAGCCCCTTCGTGAGAGGCCATGCTTCTTACTGATTTCGCTTATACATCGTTTTCTCTCTTACATGGCAGTGTGTTTGACCAATCTAATGGTATTTTTTCCACTACTTGAGTCTTGGATGGCCGTGACCCCGGCGACATTGGCCATTTTTTGGTCGCAATACGGCAATGGAAACCGCCAACCGTAAAGACTACCGGTAAAAAAAAAAGAGAGAAATACGAGAGGAGTCAAAGTGTTTGTCTTTGTGTTTACCGGCGAGCTACTCTCTAACATTTAATATCGCGACTCTACCACCGTCATCGCATCCACTATCGTCCTTTCTATCGCGCGAGAAGCGATTATGCGACGCTGAATTGCAACCGTTCGTAGAATCGTATAGATAAAGTGAGAGAAATCCCTCTGTGACTCGCGCGTTTAGATCTAATCAAATTATCAGCAAGAGGAAGAAGTAATGCGAACTCGACGGTTACGAAAAAGTGAAGACGGAAAAAACAAAGAGTTCCGTGTGAACGAGAGTTCAATGACGGGTGCAAAGTTCGATAATATGATAAAGTAGCGCTAGACTTGCCAAAGCACAATGTAGAATACATATGTAATATAATATAAACGAGATGCGGTAAAACTGTAGAAATCCAAAAGAGTATCTCATAATACATATATTCAGAATACTATTGCGTGAATTTCGAATATTTAGAAAAAGACTCACCTGCCAAGCTTCGTTTCGTCCTCGTCAACTGGTTTTCGCCGAGATCGTTCGCGCATGAAGTTAATAATTCCTATAATGCAAAAGGGTAAATATGGAGTTTTAGGGAGACTCCTCCAATGACCTTGACCTTGATATATTTATCCCTGAGCGACCTTGAGGAAATTTCAACCGTAGAACCTCACTCGTTAAAAAAAGTTATGAACAAAAAAGGTTTAAGAAATGTCTCATTTTTTGCTATACAGCCAAGGGTCGTACGACTTCCATGATTGTACTGTTGCGTAAGGTTGAAATCCACAATATAAGCATGGACATCTGTCATATTCCGACTGCTTAAAAATATGAATTCACTGCTTTAAAAACACAAATTTTCTGCTAATATAAAGAATTGTGTTTTTAAAGAAGTGAATTTATAAAGCAGTAATTTTCTGTTTTAAAACAGTTAAAAGAATAGTCGTTACGTATACATAACACCCGTGTGAAGGAAGCTGGCCCCCCAATATTGAAAAATCGATTTTTTTCTTCATGCATTCGTTTGCTCATCGTTTGCTCACGAATGCTCAGTTGGAATTTTCATTTGCTCACCTTTAGTTCAAAAGATATACGAAAATTATGTTTTGAGGGGCCAACTTCACCCTAGCCCCCCCAATATTAAAAAATCGATTTTTTCTTTATGCATTCGTTTGCTCATCGTTTGCTCACGAATGCTCAGTTGGAATTTTCGTTTGCTCACCCTTAGTTCAAAAGATTTGTGAACAAACGATGAGCAAACGAATGCATGAAGAAAAAAATCGTTTTTTTAATATTGGGGGGCTAGTGTGAAGTTGACCCCCTAAAACATAATTTTCGTATATCTTTTGAACTAAAGGTGAGCAAACGAAAATTCCAACTGAGCATTCGTGAGCAAACGAATGCTTTTGAAGAAAAAAATTGATTTTTTCATATTGGGCCAGCTTCACACGGGTATACACATAGCACTGTAGCGAGTCGGAATAACATTAATTTTTCGGAATTAAATTTCTTTGTAAATATACTCATATTTTATTATTTTTCTTTGTGCTAAAGTATAATCGTGGAAGTTGCGTGCCCCGTTGGCAGAGGGGGAGATGGGGTAAGAATCACTTCGCGTGAAAAGTCGAAATCCATGTTATACAATCATTGAAGTCGTCCGAGCGTGCGACTCTTGGCTCATATAGCAAAAATGAGACATTATTTCTTATTTTGTTCGTAACTTTTTAAGTTTTTAATGAGCGAGATCCGACGGTTAAAATTTCTTCAAAGTCACGCAGAATCATGACGTATGTCAAGGTCAAGTCGTTGGGGAGGGTCTTCCGTAAACTCCATATTTATCCGCAGAAAAAAACAAATTATTGTAGCATGAGAATGTTAAAGATAAAAATAAAAGAGAACGTACAATATTTTAATACTCGCGCAGATTTATAAAATAATTAATTATAATTTAAATTTGATCGTGTTCAGGATATTTTATCCGTTATAAATTTGCTCCTAAATTTCAAAATTACGCATTCCACAGGTGAATCTCGAAATATAAATTAAGTATCATAACCGTAATGAGTTAACAATCAGAACTCTGTTATCGAGCGACGTGATTGGTAGATAACTAATGCGTGATGAACGTAATTAACAATAATTAACGATAATGTTAACGTGAATTAAACTTTGATATTTCTCCTTGTATTACAATAACGCGAGGAAATTTATCAATGAACTGTTCAAGCCTGTACTCGATGATTTAACGCTGGGGCTCACCTGTCTTGCGCACGCAACAGCAGATGGCATCGATGACGATAAAGATGACGAATATCGTCGCGAGGACAATGCCGATTATGGCTCCACTCGATATTAACGGGCCTTGATGCTGCAGCACGCTGGTATCTACACCTTGAAAGACGATAAAAGCACATCATTCTTAAACATATCGTGTGTGATATGTATATATACATATGTATATCGCAGACCGTTAGTGCAAAAGCGATACTGAACGATGTTTGGTGATGGTTAACAATCGTTGTATTTGAACGCGTACCCAGCGATATGCATCGTGTGAGCGCTTGCGGAAGGATGCGATAAAGACATGCAACTTACTGGTATGCTCTTTTTCTGATCTAACAGAATCGTTATTCTATCAAAAATTATTAAATGCTTGATATAAAAAAATATCAGTCAATTTTGCAACGATTACAATTTTATGGCAAATTGTATAGCTGGTAATTTCCTGTTTAAGTTTAAAATACATGATTTTAGATAAAATTGTATAAATAATTAATTTGAAATAATAATTATGTGTTAATAAACTATTAGATGTTAAATAATATTTATTCGATATTAAACAACGTTATTATCAGTATTATCGATTACATCATTAATGTCAATAATTATTGGATAAATATATAATACAACGTTAAAATTCTCTCGATACGTCGATACAGTAATTAAGATAATTACTTCTCGAGTATCGGTCGCGGTGTCGCATCACCAAACACGTTCCACGTACAATGATATTTTAGTTTCCTGAAAAGAAACAAGATCTCGGCGGGGTTGTGTGGGGGAAATGCGGCAAAAATCCGTCTTTATCAAAGGAGGAAACCAAAAACCAGAAGGCAACAACGACAAGACATACAAGTATAGTGATTGTCAGTTAAGGAGACACACAGTGTGCAAGTGAGTGAGTGTATGTGTGAGTGTTATGTACGTTTTTTGTGTACGTGTGTGTTATACATCGGTTAATGGATCGCGATAATTAGCGTACTGCAGAGCGTAGAAGCGATAGAAGAGTCTCATTTCGCAACACCACACAACACGAGCTGTGCTAAAAAGCTCAAGGGAGAAGGAAGGCGAGAGGGAGGGGGGGAAAAAAGCTCATTCACTAGCCTCCCACAATCGATGTTAGTTTCTACGCGCCACTAGTCTAAAAGTGCTACCTCCACACAAAAAGCCCCACCACTGTTAAGTGCCTCGCATTTAGTTCTGTCTCACACATTCACTCATTCTTGTCATTTCTCTCTCCCCTTTTCCCATTCTCTCTCTCTCTCTCGCACTGCCATCCAATCTTTAACAGAGCTCTCAACTACGTTAGTTAGCGGCCAACATCTTGCACTTGCTTGTACTTAAAGGGGATATTTACCGTTTTCGGTGGCGCGCGTCGCTTCCCGTGGTTTATTTTTATCTTTATAATTATAAAGTAAAGAGGCGATGTGTATGACAAGCGAAAAAATAAACAAGACCGCCGAAAAAGAAACCATCTCAAATTGCAAACGCGCGGCCAGAAGAACTCTCCAACCGAGAGACATTCCCGAAAACGATCATCCCATCTTCTTCCTCTTTCCGCTCGTCATTCCCGTTCGGAAAATTCTCAAGCTCGAAAAATTGACAAGTTTGGCACAGGATACAATTTGAAGGTGGCTTCTCCGTTGGCTCGGATTTGTCCATCCGTATTGTTCTTTTTTTTTTCTCCTTAGACACTCACATATATTTTTCTTTTTACGTCGTTCCGTTGTATTTACAATATTGAATGTTTCGCACAGGAAAGAACGAGTTATACGAGTTTATCCTCCTCATAAATACGAACATATTAGGCACTAGGCTAGTACATATCCTTAGACGTATGTAAATGTTTTATCTACCTATCTACCTATGTATACTCTTTATATATACGTTTGTACATATACGTGTATGTATATATCTGTATCATGTTACGTGTATGTGTGTCTGTGTGTATCTATAGTGTGTAAATATATACCCTTCGGAAGATACGAGCGGAGTGTCCACGGTACCGTAATAAAAGATAGATATATATATATATATATAAAAAAAGAAAAACACCGGAGAAGAATACAAGGGGATCGCTACGCGCGATCATCGAATGTCTCGTAAAAGCAACTGGAACGGCAACGAAAACCGAACCGGCCACGGTGAAGTTCGATTTCGCATTCCAGTCTATTTTCGGTCCATGTCGTAACGTGCCTAGCTCCGAATCGGCGCGATTATTTCTTAAATCTGGACAATCTCTGTTGTCTCAAACCTTCTGCAACTCGAAGTAAACTCAGCGGCACGTACATCCTTTTCTTTTACCTTCACCCGAAGAAAAAAAACTGTGCCGACATAAATCGAAAAAAATAGCACATCACGAAAAAATTAAAAAGGTATATTACTGCAGTTTTTATTAATACTCTCATTTCCGTAAGCGGCTTAAGCATTTTCTTTCTCCGACGCAAAACTGATTCTGTTTGTGGAGATTCTGTTTAATGCGCTGGAAAAAATCTCTTAAATCCGAACCTTATTATGATTAAATAAAATAACAGAATAGGAAAGACTAAAAGGGTCGCAAAAAAATGCACTAATGCATTGGCGGAAGGCTTTTCCGAATACAGAGAGACGCGAACTGTTTATTATTTTATTAAAGAATCACACACTGAAACGCGATTTTGTACACAGATCTTCAGGCACTCGACATCTTCTTATCAATATTTCAACATTTAATGTATCATTAAATTTTTCCATTATCAAGAGGATAACAAAATCGGATAATAAATTCAATTTTACGCAAATAAATAACTTCATGTCGTTTCTTTCTTGACGTTACGTATTCCGAGGGATATAATGACAACGGCAAAAAATTTATTAAATTATTTCAACCGTAATGGAAAGATTATTTTGTAAAATGATTCTAGTATGCTTTTCCACACAGTGCAGTGGAAGGATTAAAATAACACTGTTTCGCCGCGCGCGCGCGGATACGAGGACCCGGTACTGCGAAATCGCGCGAAAACCATGCTGCTGTACGTCCATCGGAAATAGATCGCGGAGAGTATATCGTGCTTATGTTTTTACGTTTCTCGCCCTCTCATCGTTTCCAGTCCTCCGGTTCATCCTCTCGACGCAGTTCTCTCTAACGCAGCGGCTATTTATAAGCGACGTGGCGATGCCCGGTACTGCCGGGAGGTTCCACGAACGGATTCGTATTCGCGAACCGACTCATTCGACTCCTCTGCGTTTTCTGCGTTTCCTTGTTTCTATCTCCCCCATAAAGTCGCGTGGGTACTAGAGGATGGACCCGGCACATCAGCCAGCGCAAACACCCCGGCTCTCTCCTCATCTCGAGCGATTCATTTGTACGCGCGCGGAGAGATTATCTCTGTAACGAGAAACACTCCAGCTGCTGCTTACTGCTGCGCTGGGAAACTTCTTGCTTAAACACAGACACGTTCAGTTTGTACGTATATTCGACGTGTATTATTTCGGCGTCTCTCGGGAAACGTTTTGGGAAAATGCGGTACCTAATATACGCGCAAACGTTGAAGTATTAAAAGTGACAATGCGAGTAACGAAGATAATGGAAGAAGACGCGCTTCAGGAATTTTAGCTAAACAACTTGGAACCAAGAAATCAATTTGAAAAGCCTCTCGAGGATCGGAATAAAAAAAAAAAAAAACTGATCGATTTGATATGAACGAAAAATATTTGTACATCTAATTTCTCGGGAATTATAACTGCGTGACAGCGTTTCTTCCCGCAAGATAAATTCCGTATAATCGTACAATCGCCCTATAGTGAGTGAATCGGAATAATCCCGCATTCCCCGCTAATTGATTCCGTCCGCAATCGCGTCCTCGAGATGATGACGCCGGTGCTCGAAGCGTCCGGGTGAAAGCGAATGCTCGCGCAGACAATGAGTCGTCGTCGCCGAATGGAGCATTTATACGCTCGCAATTTATCCGGACGGGGCGCGCAGTTTGCGCGGGGGATCGATTCTCGAGTACAAAATACAAAGCCGCCTTGATTTCCCGGCAGAGACAATTCCGGCCGCGGCGCAAGAATCGAGGATCGATTGATCCTGGCAGATTGCGGAGGGTCGGTCGCGTGCGTCTCTCTGGTTTGAGGCTCTCCGCAAACACGCCCGTCTACGTTCTGGGCGGAGGAGGGAAGGAACGAATAGTGCACGTTCGCGTAATTAGTCCGTGCGAATCGCGACACGTTGAACAATCGCGCATAAAGAGCCGTTTGTTCGTGACTGTAGCTCGTGCGCATTTAACGTTAAATTACTATCTGTTCTGAATTACCGTATCCGTTCGGTACGAAGAAGAAACTACACAATGGTCCGTATTCTTGTCGCAAATTTGTTGCCGAATTTCACCGTCCAATTTTGAAATTACCAAGGCATCGGTAACACTGCGAATGAATTAAGATGATTAAAAGACAATAGAAAATACAAAATTGAAATGGAGCAGCGAATTTAACGTGAAATGTGCATGAGGTAGAAAATCAATTCAAAGTTAAATATGAATAAATGATTAAATACAGGCGATAGACTTCACGATTCTCTTTTGATATTGATGAAAGTGGACTGGACTTTGACAGAATCATGCGACTCTGTTCGGGTAAGAGGAATAACGGAAAACTGTGTCTTTATCGAAGCGGCAGACTAAATCGATACCGTGGTCTGTTCGTTGCAATTTCACGAATCCTTTTATCGAGACAAAGTGCGAATTTCGAGGGATTTCGTTTGGCCAGTTCCAGTTACAATCGTTCTGGAGCTTTCCAGGAGCCCGCCCCCCCCGGTGATTTCCACGAGAAAAGAGGAAAACTCATCGAAGGCAGATTCGAGACGGATGGGAAACATTTCGACTATCGTTCCCCCTTCGAATCGTTTTCTTCTGCCATCGCGTCTGTTTCTCGTCGAGACATTGTCTTTATCATCGGTTTAAAGCCTTCCGCCCGTCTCCGCGCTCGTCTTTCACCCGCGCGGTTTAAAGTTTAAATCGTCTGAAAGAGACTTTATTCGCGCGCGCGCGCGCATCCACGCTTTCTTCCACTAATTCCGCTTTGTGATGTTTCCGAAATTACGTTGAAGTTTATTGTTACGAGAGATAAAACATCACACT